TGATACACCTTTTTTTTTTTTTTTTTTTCGAAGGCTAATTCTTTTAAGCCTGTAGAGGACCCACCGGGAAGGTGCTCCGCCTGGGATACAGATAGAGATGGAGGATGAGGGAGGAGCGAGATGGCACAGCGCAGCTCCCACGTAAGACTCCAACGCACATACTCCAAAATCGTGCAAGTGTAGAATGATCTCGAAAACAAACAACGGCTGGGGTATACCCCAACGAACTGACGAGACACGACTGGACTGGCTGGTACCGACAGAGGTACCGGCCTGGATTGGACTGCCCCGAACAAAACACAGGTCTGTAAGAATAGGCCAAGGGGCTGGTCTCACAGGCCAACCAGAGGTCCGCTACACGATCCTCGGCCTATGATGGATCGCCTAGATACAAGCACGCTTCCGCCAAGAAGCGAAACTCTACCAAAGAAAAAGAAAACCTGAGTAGTCTAGGATGTGGAGCAAGCTCCATGTTGAGTCCATGCGATGCAACCTAGGATATAAAGTGTCACAAAACAGCAATGTCACAGCTAACAGCCTAAGTGAAAGCAAAAGCATTTAACTAGCATACATGTCCTAGGAAAGCAGAAGCAACTAACTAGCATACATGTCCTAGGAAAGCAGAAAGTAGTGACAACTAGATCCTAGAATGTTGGAGGCAGTAGCCTCAGTCTGGGAATAGCTGACTAGTGTATAATTCCTAAGAACAACAAAAACAGAACAGCTAAATCCTAGAAATGTCAGAGGCAGTAGCCTCAGTCTGAGAGCAACAATGCAACAACAAGTCAACCATATGTCACAAGAGAAGTGTGTCGCAAACCAAAGGGTGGGATGGTCTCTGAGGGTGGCGAATGCAGCGGGGTCGATAACTCGTAAGGGCATCCACACATAGTGACAGGGAGACACATGTCATCAGGCTCAATGAGGGTAGGGAACAGGGAGCGAACAGAACCAATAACCCTAATAGATAGACCATCAGGGCTGGTAATGCTCGACTAAAGGGGTGACCGCTATAGAGGGTCGACCATGCAAGGGAACAAGGGAGCCTGGTATACTGGGCGCACCTAGATGAAGCATGCGGGGCTGCCTAACTAGGGCGTGAGGGTCGACCGAGGGTAAGGAGAAGGAGGAGGGTCTGTGGGCTGAGGACGAGAAGTAAACCCAGTACGACGAGCACGGTCATAGGCACGCACCAACATGCAAGCGTGTTGCAAGTGCTTTTGGGGCTCCCAGATAGCCTCCTCATCGGGGTAACCCTTCCAACGTACGAGATACCCGACGTGGGGACCAATGATGTCTGAAACGAGGAACTCCTCGTCGTCGTCCACCATGATGGGTGGAGGGCGCTCGTATGATTGTCCAGCGAAACGCTCAGACGGTCTGCGGTAAGGACGCAGTAACGAGACATGGTAGACATCATGCACACGAGCCTTGCGTAGGTAGTCGGGCAGCTTCACACGGAAGCTGACCGGGCTAGAAACTGTATCAGAACCGACGGCTTGGAGGATGCGGCATAGGCCAACGAAGCGACACCGAAACTTGTGAAGCGTGTCCGCTTCGAGTTGTGCTCATGTGCGGTCTTCATGATCGACGTCATGTGTGCAACCCAATCATCCAGCGCGGGACAACTCGTGTCGGGGTGCATCTGCGACGATCGAACGAAGTCTGCAGGAACACGAGGGTGATAGCCGAGGTCGCAATAGTAAGGCGACATCCCCGTGGCTGGCGAGACGGCGTGGTTGTAGGCTATTTCCGCGTGGGCAAGATGGAGATCCCACGGCTGGTCGTCACGAACAATCTTTCGGAGAATATCTCCGAGAGTCTTGTTCGTGATCTTGGTCTGACCATCAGTCTGAGGATGGTAAGACGAGCAGA